AAAAAAAAAAAAAAAAAAGCCACAAGAATACCTTTACAGGCATGGGGGGAAGGCAAAATACATACAGTTAAACAAAAAGAACAAAACCATATGTATCATCTCATTTTTGTAAAAAGTTCATGTTTGTAGTAGTAGGTGTGTACACTATATGCATAGAAAAGTGTCTAGAGAGATATAAAGTGTTAACATAACTTGTTAATACAAGTAATTGGGGTATATCAGGTAGAATAACTCATTTTTTTTCTTTTTGCTTAACAGTATTTTCCTTATTTTTCTACAATAAACATGGATCACAAAAGAAGGTAAAACATCAACATACGTAACTATATAAACATTTTAAACTACTATATATGAAAAAACTCCAAAACAATTCAAAGATAAACAGTAAATAAGAAACCATGTTTGTTACAAATATGGCAAACATTAATATACTTTGTACGTAAAAAGACTATATAAAATCAAAAATTACCAAAACCTTACAGATTAAAATAAAAATGATGCCCCCCCCAAAATAATTTCACTGTAATCCCAGCACTTTGGGAGGGAGGCCAAAGTGGAAGGATAACTTAAGGCCTGGAGTTCAAGACCAGCCTGGACAACAGAGAGAGATTCCATCTCTAAAAAAAAATAAAAAAATTAGCCAGGCATCATGGTGGTGCACGCCTGCCTGTAGTCCCGGTACTTGGGAGGCTGGGACGAGAGGATCGCCTGAGCCAAGGTGGAGTTTAAGGCTGCAGTGAGCTATGATCCTGCCACTGAACTCTAGCCTGGGTAGCAGTGCAAGACCCTGTCTCAATTAATCAGTAAATTTTAAGAGATAACAAATATTTAATAAATCGATGAGAAAAAATGTCATCCTGTTATCAAACTAATAAAACGTCCCTTTTTACCTAGCAAATTCAAATATTTTTAACTATGTTACTCATTTCAAACATTACTAGTAAGAATACAAAGTGGAAAAAATGTTCTAAACATAAAGTTAAGCAACTTGTAAGACTTCATATACTTTGAAACAGTAATTTCTCTTCTAAAAGTCTATTCCAAGAAGATATTCAGAAACGAAGAAAAAGATGAAGGTATAAGCATATTCAATATAACATTTTTTCCAAAATTAACAAAAACTGGGGAACCCTTAAATGTCTTCTAATAAAATAATTTTTAAGTTAAATTATAGTGCATACCTAGAATGGAATATCATATAATCACTAAGATTTTTCTAGAATTTTTAATGACACAGGGAAGTGTTCGTGAATAATGTTTATGTCAATCACCTGGCTGCCTTCAGTTTGAAGCATCTCTTGCTTCTCTTCAGGACTTCTTTTCATTTCAAACCTTTGAATAAATTCACAATCTTCAGCAGAAATCATCTGCCCCCTAGAAAGTAAAAATAAGTTGTTTTGTTCAGTAAGAGATGAATAGCCACTGTGAGCAAACAGAGGAGTTCCCGGTCTTTGTCCTCTCTCCTTGGCAGTAAACCACTAGGGCTGACACAAGGGCCCTGGCATCAGACAGACCTGGGTTCAAAGCTTAGCTCCACCTCTTACCAATGCTGCAAAAATCTCTGGAACCGGAGTTAATTTATCTGCTAATGGGAACAATAACCACATTGCCTTTGAGGGGTTGCACTGAAGAGGAAATTAAGTAATCCACATGGGTAGTTATTAGCACAGCATCTGCCACACCCACGGTAAGCACGCAGCAAAATGTTACCTCTTAGCATTACCCAAAGTCTCACCCTTAGTCCCCCTCCCAAGGCAAACAATTTACTTGGCCTTCTAATGTATCAAGTTCAAAGTCATTTTATTAATATTTTGATTAATAAAGATGTGTTTGAGCCTAGTTACGATGATTTAAAATTCACGGTCCAAAAATCATGATTACTTTTGCACCAACCTAATACATGAACTTCTATAATCATTTTCTCCAGCACATTCTTTCCCTCCACACAAAAAAGGTGATTTCCCTCCTCTCTGAAAAACCAGCTCTCCCCCCGACCGTGTCCTCCCAGCAGGCACCCCGCACCACCCTGTTCTCCTCCATCCCTTCCAGGGGCCCTTTCGTCACTGGCTCTTCCCGCTTCAAGTCTTCTCCCAGCACTGAATCCCTGGCATCTTTCCTTTCCCCAACTCTTTCCTGTGAGAGGTTCAATTTGAGAGTCCATTCTTCTCTCTCACCCAAACCTTCGCCAACTGTCTCCTATTTCCATGTAGATGTCTTAACATCTTCACGAGTTCAGCGTCATCACCACTGAATTGTCCATCTTCCTTCCCAAACCCAGCTTGACCTACCAATTTCTCCACTCATCAGGTAGTCAAATGCATTGCGCAAAATCCCCATCCTAATCTCTAAATACAGATCCTTCCTTGTTAAAAGATGTGTTCCCAGAACGGCCTTGCTTGTCCCTGTAAAGACTCTGGGCACTTCAGCGTTTGTTCACATCAACTCTTTAGGGCCTTAGTATGGTAGGAAAAGCACAGCACTTGAGTCAATCTGAGGATGCATTCCAACTCCACGCGTGAAACTTTGGCAAGTCACTGCCCCTCGGACCACCATTTTCCACACCAGCAAAATGGCAATTACAACACCAACTGCCCTGTTCCACTGAATGGTTATACAAATTAAATGGAAAAATATAAGAAAAAGCACTTGATATATTTAGGTATAGAGTAGAAACATGAGTAAAATAAAAAAAAATTTGTATAATGTGCTTTATCAAACAATATCAATATATTTTTTAACTCAGTAGTTTAAAAAGCTGTCCCTTTCCCCTACTCCCAAGCACGCTGAAGGACTGGTGCTCCACAAAACCCAATCAGAGAAACACTGAATACGAAGCGGGTTCCAAAAACGCATGATTATAGAAGGATGTCCCTGTTTCAGAGCTGTCCTGGGTCAGGTTCAGAGAAACAGGCCCTGAGATGAGGATTCAGGGGCAAGTGACTTATGAAGGAAGTGCCCCCAGGAGAGACCAGGGATAGCGTGGAGCCACAGAACGTCGAGGGGACAGCCCAGCCAGGATTTAGGCAAAGGACCACAGAGGACAGCTATCCCTGAGCCCACAGGAGAGCCTGGGATGGTGAGGCACTCAGAGCTGCCCCCTCCCCAAGACAAGGTCGCTGAACTTGCATACTTCTTGCTACCTCCACCTACAAGCCCACCCTCTTCCAAAGAAGACCTTGATTTTTATGTATTCAAAATCTGTCAGTTTTACTTTGTCTCTTCTGGGTTTTGTATATACTATTACTATACACTAAATTGTTTTATATACTTTGAATTTGCTTCTGGACTTTGTAATCTACCATTCTATCTTTCTTGTAATAGTTATACACTGTTTAAGCACTGTGGCATTGTTTTCACACGCGCTTATTTTTGAACCTTTTTCAAAACTAGTCTCATCTATTTATTTTTCCAACAATTCCTTAATCACCAGCCCAAAGGAGAGTTTTCAGTCCTTCCTCCTATACCTCCCTGAAGCAGGTGACACTGCAGCCACTTTTTGATACCCTTCCTTACCTTCCAGATTCTGCTCATCCCCTCAAGCCACTCCTCCTAGGTCTACTGTAATGACTTCAGAGCCTCTGGCTCCGCAGCAGGAGGCTCCCTTCATTTCGCACACTGCGGCTCTCCCTGAGTGCTGCCCTCCACCCCGCGTGCTGGTAACTCTCAGTCTGAACTCTGGCCGGACCTCCCGCGGTCCTCACTCCACCTCCTCCCACAGATGGCAGAGGCACTCCAGACCCTACAGGGGCAGAACTGAGACCGTTAAGCCCCTAGACTGGCTAAAGGGAAATTGAAAGCAAAAACACACTTTACCCAGTTCTGACTCTGGCTAAGCACTTCATATGCTAGTCAGGAAAAAATGCACTCTGCATCCTGATACGGACCAAGAGAACAAGGTTATCCTTTCCAGTCTGGCCCCAAAATAAATGAAATGATGAGCACACTTATGAACCTGACCTCCCTAGCTAAAACAATTTTACCCCCGAATTTTGCTGTGCTGATGTGTAAAAGGTATGTCATAACCTTTGTGAATAGGATAATCATGTCAAAAAGTTGCAGTTTTTCTACCATGAAGAAGGTGTACCACAAAGGTTACACTTGGTAACCTTATAACTTTTCAGCTTTCTTTTCCATTTAAATAACTGTGTTTTTTATTTGGCAAGCCATTCCTTCTGAAGTCTGACTTTCTTCCACTTGTTGCAGGTAAACCATCTTCTTCCTTGTTTAAATTCTTTTGTGTCTTCGTCTTCCTTTGACAATTCCATAACCTAGCTGGTTAGAGATGCTGGTGTCTTCTCTAATCACCCACAGCCAATCAGGCACCAGTCCAAACAATTTTGACTAGTCCTATGGCAACAGTCCACCAATGGGTTTCTGCACATCCAGTCCAACCCTCCTCCAAACAATCTTCTTGTCTACTAACGGACAGCCTTCTCAAGCACTCATCTGATCATACTCCCTTTGGACTGTGAGTTTGAATGGCAGTTTTACCTAGCACTTAGGCAGAGGCATTCAATAAAAATCTTATAAATCAATTGAATAATTAAAACCTATATAAGGCCAGGCATAGTGACTCACATCTGTAATCCTAGCACTTTGGGAGGCTGAGGTGATAGGATTGCTTCAGGCCACGAGTTTAAGACTAGCCTGGGCAACACAGCAAAACCTCATCTCTACAAAATAAAAAAAAAAAATGATCTGGGCCTTGTGCTGCATACCTGAAGTCCTAACTACGTGGGAGGCTGAGGTAAGAGGATCACTTGAGCCCAGACTTCGAGGCTGCAGTGAGCTATGATCAGGCCACTGCACTCCAGCCTGGGCACCAGAGCAAGACCTCATTTCTTTAAAAACAAAAAAAAATCACATAAGCATGTGCATGTTACTTAACAGCTATCCTTACATCTTTAAAACAGAATAGAATAGAAAAACTTATGTCACAGTATTGTTATGAAAATAACGTTAGATAGTATGTTAATTACAAAATGTTACTTCCTTTTCCAAATACTTATCTCCACCACTTCCCAACAAGCACAATACTCTACTCATTCATCATTAATCAACTGATGTTAATTGGTGCCTCCTATGTGCCAGGCACCTTTTAACAGGTGACACAGGAATTAATTAGACATCTCTCTTAACTTACATTCCAGTGGGGAAAACAGAAAATACACAAATATAAAAACAAATGATTTTTTAAAATACACATACACAAATCATCATAATGCTAAGGCTGTATATGCTATGGAAAAAACTGAGGCCAGTAGAGGGCTAGAAAGTGACAGGAACAACAGAGGGAGGGACGTATTTTAGAGAAGGCCTTTCCTGAGGTCGCCTATGAAGACACCTGAATGAAGTGAGTTGATAAGCTGAATGATGCGTGTGTAGAGAGACAGACCTGGGGCTTGCTGTGCGTGGAAGAGCAAGGAGGGTGCAGGAGCAAGAGAGCTGTGGGCAAGATGGCGTGGTCAGATCTGTATTTTTTAAAAATCACTCTTGCAGCAATGTGAAGAATTGCTCGTATGGGGGCAGCAGTAATAGCACAGACACTGGGTGAGAGGCAGTAACCACAGAGCTCACGAGAAAAGATGACAGCAAGCATGAGGGTGGGAGCAGCGGAGGTGGAGAGGAGTGGTCAGATTCGGGATACGGTTTAATTGTTAATGGACTGGAAATGGATTGCAAAGGAAAGAGAAGAGATAAGGACGACCCCTGGGTTTTTGGCCTATGAAACTGGGTGAATGAAGGAGCCACATATTGGCCTGAAGGAGACTGGAGGGAGCCACATGGAACTACTGGAGCTCCCCAAGCACTGCGTGTCCCCCCAAGCCTCGGCGCCTCGCCTGGGCCTTCCTTCAAGCAGCCCCAGCTCCTCTGCCTGGACAGCCCTGAGAGCATCTTCACGAGTTCTGTGAAAACTTCCCCAATACTCCCAGCAATTATTTGCTCTCGCCCTTTGTTGTATATTTCCTGTTGTTATAAATATATATACTTCATGTACGTCTCTATTTTAACAAAATTATTTAATTTGTTTAAACATCTGTTTCCTCATTAGACTTAAACTCATGAGCAAGGATGGCATTTTACAATTCTTGTATCCTCAAGATACAGTTTTACTGGATTCCAGTGTGACTGGAATATAGCCATGGTTGGAATATAGCCAACCATGTACTGTCTGGTTGAATTATTAAGAAAAGACTTAATCAAATAGAAATATATTTTTAGATGCTATATTTTCATAACAACATGTTAATTTGTGAGGAACAAAAGCATACTGGCCTTCTGACATCAGGGACTCTTCCACAGGTTTTATTATATCAGTATATAATATGATACAAGATTCACTGATTATTCATGTGTCATGTGCAGCCCTAAACAATCTGTAAGTTCTTTTAGGAGAGGCACATTGCACACCCACTTGTGTCTTCACATCAAGAGGCTCAACAGCTGGCACACAGTTAAAATTTGGTGAACACTTGCACACAGACATACAGAGTGGAGGGGTTTTATAAAAGAAATTTGTGAGATGGACAACAGAATAAAGGACAGAATGGGAAAAAGGAGAATACAATGTATGTAGTAGGCCATGGGACAGAAGGAACAGAAGAAAAAGCAATTAAAAAACTCCATGTAACTAAAAATGTTTCAAATGCCCCTAAAGGAATTTCTGCCAGTCTGTCCATGCTTTATGATCAAAAATATTATTCTATTTAGGTTATAAACAGATCCAGGCTTTATAAACATGACAGTCCTCATCCTCTTAGTCTAAATGCACTCTAGACTAAAGAAATTAGGAAACGGAGCTGGAAATCCAAATTTCACTGGAGATTTAAACAATTACACAGATTCCCATGAACAGAAAAAACATCAGCAAGTCCTTCCTCCTCCCGTTCTTCGGTCAGTGGCCCCACAATAAGCCAGTTCCCTAAAGTAGGAACCCAGAAGTCATCCTAGACTTCTCTTCCACCCCCACACAACAAATGCATCACTAAGACGTTCTCAAATCCATGCAATTCTATCTATTCCAATAATACTGCTATAGCCTCTCCTACCTCTACGCTTATTACCCACAAATTCACCCTTTATGTTGTCAGAATAATCCAACCAAGAGGCAAATCTGATCATCAAACTCCCAGCTACAAGCTTCGGTTGTTTCTAACACCTACTCTTCCTTGGAACCCTAATGGTAAATTGTCTCAAGGAGAGGGTCGGAGACACACACTCCCACATCCGTTCCACTACCATTTTCATCTGTTCTACATGCTGAGCTTTCTTATCAGACTTCACATCAACCATGGGTTTCAGGGCTTAAGAAGCAGCTTGCAAAACACTGACTGACAGGATCAAGTCCAAACTCCTTCCAGCTGCACGCAGGACCTTCACAATCAGCTCTCCCCACTGCCACCTCCAAAACATGTATGACTCCCACCTAGCCTGCTGTTTTTGCTTTCCCTGCCTTTGCTCACACTGTCTGTTCTACTTGGAAAGCTACTCCTTCTTGACACATGGCTAAATACCACTCATCCATGACAACTCAGTTCAAGGACCATCCCCTTCAAGAAAACTTCCTGAGGGTAGGATTAGCTGTCCTTTTTCTGTGCACCCATCAGACCCTGAGCAACTTTCTATTATTAGTTAACACACTGAATTAAAATGATCTGTTAACACATCTGACTTCCCTATTAGAGTATGAGTTCCTTTAGAAATGGTACCTTATATCTTTTTTGTAGCCTCAAAGCCCGGAAAAATGCCTCAAAGTTGGCAGGTAATCAATAAATGTTTAATGAGTGATAAATTAACAGAAATAAAAGAATCATATTTGTACACTGTATATCCCCCTGACAACAAAACAATTAAACATAAAACTACAGATTCCTCGATGTTTTTTAAAATGTATATGTAAATCTGAACTGAATTTCCTAGATAACTCAGTTATAAATATAGCTAAATAAGCAGGTATGAAGTAAAGTCAATATGATAAAACACAGTCAACAATAAACACTTACTTTACAGATAAATATAGAATATTGAAATACCAGCATATTAAATCTTAATATACCCAAGAAAGGGGAAAGAACTAAAATTTATTGAGTGTATTCAACGTGCTAATGCTTGTATTCAACTGGGCTACTACTTTTAATACATTATTTCAGCAACAAGCCTGTGGGATATGTATCTTTATTTCACATTTACTTTGCTAAACTTCAGAGAAGTTAAGTGATTTGCCTAAGATCACCAAACTAGTAGAGAGAACAAAAATTCAAACCCAAGTCTCAAACTCAAACATCTATGTCTTTCACTAGTTGTATGGGCCACTCTAAAAAGACCAACTGCGCCCACACTGATCACCAGGGCATGCTGGGCTATGCTGGCCAGCTTTGCCAATCACTCCCTTCCTCCTTCCATAACGCATGAACATTCCTCTCAGGAGTCCCACTCATTCAAAAAGTACTTCCTTTCAGCCAGAGAAGGTCAAAAGTACTACTATGCTCTGCTTCCCCAGTAGAACCCCAAGCTCTTTCCACCACACTATGCTAACTCCCTAAGGCAGCTACTTATTCTAAGGAGGAAGTGTTTCTTCCACATTTACTAGAATTTTTCCAGTATTTCTCTCATAGAAGCATGACCATGAAAAAGTCTGATGCAAAAGCATATGATTATCCATGATTCACAGCAAACTGGTACTTACTGAAGATAAGACTGCCAGTTCACTTTATTTGCACGAACTTCTGCAGCCTTGGCAGCAATAATATTGGTTGGGACAGCAGCATCCACAGCACCTCGGATATCCATTTTGGTCATCTAAATTTTATAATCTTGAGTGCTTTTCAACAGATTTTCAATTTAGATGTAAGGTAAAAAGAGAATACCATGTGTTATTTTTTAACAATGATTATTATTATCATCATCACTCTAATCTCCCCAGGCGTTCAATTCAAATATTCAATAACCTAAGTCTGAAAGCCCTATCATTATATTTCGAATCTTGTCCACTGCACCGTAAAAATTTCCTAGGCTTTTTCTTTTCCAGGAAAGGTTTTTTTAATTATTGGCACCAATATTGTACTGAGATTTTTAAAATGACCACCAAAGATATTGAAATCAGAAATCATGGCTAAATAGAACAGGCATACAAAATAGAAAAATATTTTAAATTTATATGATTAGGATCAACTTTCCTCTTCTGACAGAGAAAAAATTATAACTGTGTAATAAGATGAGACCAATTTATAAACTTTTACTAAGCACCATTTTGAAGTAACATTAAAAATTATAAGTCCTTTCTAAAATTATTCAAATAAAAATATACAAAGTGTGGACATAATTTCTCAGAATACAGTGCTTTCTTTTCAACCAAAATCCACAATATTTTCAAAATCGATTTTGGGAGAAATTTTTGGAACATATACCTATTACAATTTACGTAAGCCAAATGGGAACCGTTCTGACAAGAAGCTACAATAATGAGCTTCTGTGCAATTCTCACTCCAAATTTACAGATAAAAACCTTAAGCTTGATTTTATCACAACACAAAATATAGGTTCCCATTCGCAAATATCAGTTTATGGCCATGGCCACGCTAAGCTGTACCCAAAATTCTATTCCAGATTCCCAATGACCTTAGTCCATACGCAATGTAATCTCTGTATCTGCGGATTTGCTGCCTAAACAAGAGCAGAGCGGACTGGCGGGCCCAGGTCAAAACAGGCTGCATCCGGCCAGGCTGGAACGCTGGAACCAAGCAGGCTCAGCCCCAGCGGCCTTTTGGGGGGTGGCTCAAGATGCCTCAAGTCGGTTACCTAAGTCTCAACGACTCGTACCCCCAGCAAGCCAGGGCCTGGGCCCAGTCCGGGGAAGGAATAATTTCTACCCGTCCCCTCCTCTCTCCTGCCCGCCCCTCCCGTTTCTTTCCCCTGCGGGAAGGTTCTGCAATTTCGTCAATCTGGTTGAGGCCTGGAAGGGAAGAAATCTGGCAACCCGGGGCCGAAGAAGCGCAGGAAGGGCCCAGAGCGGCGAGAGACCTGCACGCACCTGGGAAGCTGGAGAAACCGCGAGGTCGCCTCACCTGGTCCAGTCCCGGAGACGAAACAACCCGGAGGCAGTCTCACCTCGCGAACCCGGGAGACCGACAACGCACCACAAGGAGGCAGAGAGGGTGCGGCGGTCCGGGGCGTCCGCAGCCAGGCTGGGGCGCCGAGTCAGAGCCGAGTGGCCGTCTCCTGCCAGGTCCGGAGGCCCGAGCAGCGGTGGGAGACTCGAGAGACGGAAAGCGAAGCGACGCCCGAACCGAGGAAACGTTGAGGGCAGCACAGGCAGAAGGAAGCGGGAGGGGCCGCAGAATGAGAGGAGCGCCTGTCACGTGACCAGAGGCACGTGACGGCCGCGGAAGGCGGAAGCCGGAATGGTCCAAAACAGCCGGAGGAGGGGCGTTGCGCTGAGAAGTGGTCTGTTCCGGACGGGCTGCGGGATCTGGGTGGCCGCGACGTAGGCCCCTAAAGGGACGCGTAGCTCGAGGGGGACGTGGGGCAGAGTGGGGCGCGCCCCCAATCCCAGTGCCCAGGACTGGGGCTGCTGAGGACCCCTCCCCGGAGGTAGTTTGAGAGGCCAAAACTTTATTTTAACCACATTCTTTGAAAAGTTTTAGCGCGTTTATGTATTTATTAGTTGATTGACGGGGTCTTGCTCTGTTGTACTGGCTAGACTGCAGTGGCGTCGTCACAGTTCGCGGCAACCTCAAACTCCTGGGCTCAAGGAATGCTCCTGCCTCAGCCTCCCGAGGAGCTGGGACTACAAGCCCTGCTGCAGTTGCCGCAACCGCTAATTTTTTTGTCGGTGGGGAGGGTGGTGGGGGACAGGGTCTCACTATGTTGCCCAGGCTGGTATCGCACCTCAGCCTCCCAAAGTGCAAGGATTAGAGGCATGAGCCATCGTGCCCAGCCTGATTTAGTGCTTTTAAATAGATTGATATTTTTATTTGGATTTAACAGCTCGATAAAGCAGACATTCTTATTAGGATTTTAAATATAAAACTGAGGCTGAGTAGTAGTTCACAAAAGTTATCTTAACCTAGGGTTGGAGATTAACAAATGTATATTCTATACAATATTTACAATTATACTAAAAAGTTAAACGTTTATTTAAAATTCAAAGTTAACTGGGCATCCTGTATTTTGTCTGACAACCCTATTTTGAGCCCAAGTTTTCCATAGTCCAGGCCTAAGCTACCCTCTTTGCTTTAAGATAATAATGTGTAATACTGCACTGCCCTGGTGGTAAGGCATACTTTCGTTAAAAAGCACTGAAAGGGATTTATAAATATAACCAATACATTTCTACTAAAAATATTAAATTGATGCCAAATTTCCAAACAATCAACATTTTGCATTGATTATGAATAAAGATACCTAATAACAGTGTATAAGATTGTACTAATTTTCTACTCCTGTAACAAATTATCACAAATTTTGTGGCTTAAACCAACACAAATTTATTATATCACAGTTCAGTGGGTCAGAAGTCAGACATGGATCTTCCTGAGCTAACAAGTTTTTGGCAGGACTGAGTTCTTTCTGGAGGCACTTGAGAATGCATTCCTCTGCCTGCATTCCTTGGCTGGTGGCCCTTTCCTCCATCTCTGAAGTCAGCTGCCTCACCTCTGTCTCTGACCACAGCTGGGAAGCGTTGTCTGCTCTTATCGGGGGAGGGAGGGAAGGTCATGTGATTAAATTGGGCCCACCTGAAAAATTCAAGCAACTCTACACATCTCTAGGTTCTTAACCTTAATCATATCTGCGAGGTGAGGTCATGGGTACCTTTGAGGGAACCATTATCCTGACTATCACAAATGGGGAGAGAAGGACACACTAATTTAATGTAGGTGGTTGAATAACAATACAAAGGGGCCCTACATGATATCTCTGTTAGTTTTCTAAAGTTAAATGTTTAAAGGAACTCTAGCTAATAGGGCAAAATGTTAATCTCTTTAAAACTGGATGCATAGGTATTCCTTATATCCTGTTTATTTGAATATTTTGTTTTTAAAAATTGATACTATGGGTTGAGTCCATTTATGTGTGAAACTCTAGCCTAAATGAATGAAGGATTTGCTCACCAAGAAAATACTGGATTTTAGAACAAAACCTCAATGATAGCATAGTAAAATATTCATTGGTAACAAACCTATATCTAGGTCACAAAACGGTAATATTTTAAACTTGATACATGTTTCAAAGATTCTGACAGTGGGGAAAGTACCCCTTCAGGGCATTTTCTGGCCTAAAATATAAGTAGTGCTTCTGTGGAGAAAGCAGGTGGATTGCTACCTGTTCACTAATCTATCATTAAAAATACGAAGGCACAATTTTAGGCCGTGCTGGTGATATGGCCTTACTAACAAAGTGACATCCTTACGGAGCATACGAATGCAAAGCTCCCACTGTCAGAAAGAATAGCTTAAGTGTCTACCCACATGTTAAATGTGCATACTCCTTAATCTCGCAATCGAACTTCCAGGAATTGCTCCCACAGGACTGTTAGTATGCGTGTGCAAAGATGAATGTACAAGGGTTCTCGGGGTGCAACATTTTTTATAATAGCAAAACAAAAATAGAAAACGTGTATTGATCAGCTCAGGCTGCCATAACAAAATACCATAGACCGGGTAGCTTAAACAACAGAAACTTATTTCTCACAGTCTGGGAGGCTGCGAAATCCAAGATGAAGGTCTGGCTGATTTGGTTCCCAGTAAGAGCCCTCTTCCTGGCTTGCAGATGGCCACCGTCTTGCTGTGTCCTACGTGGTAGAGATAGAGAGCTCTCTCCTGTCTCTTCTTATGGGGACAGTAATCCTACTGTATCAGGGCTCCATCCTTATGATCTCATTTAACCTTTTAATTACCTCCATAAAGGCCCTATCTCCAAATACACTCGCGCTGAGGGTTGAGGCTCCAACCTATGAATTTTGGGGGTAGGTAAACACAAACACAATCCAAATTTAGTCCATCAGTTGAAGAATTGAAAAAATAATAAAATATCATACACTGAAGTGTAATGCGGCCATTAAAAAAGAATTTAGATAGAGATTTGACTTCTGACACAGAAGGGCATTCACACTCAGGTAATATGTACAGAATAACATAATTTTTTGCTGCTTAACAAAATGTTCATATATGTATTTATATGTACATATCATAAAAATCTGTAATGACGCACATCAAAGTGTTTTTAAAAATAGGTAACTGGGGAGTAGGATATGATACGTTGATTTTTGCTTTTTACTTTAAATACTTCTGTATAATGCCACATGTTTTAGTTAGAATGTATTACTTTTAACTGTTAAAAATTAAAGGCAGAATTTACCAGTTAGCCATCTGGGCCTGAAGTTTTCTTTCTTTAATAAATATAAGCCTATTTAGGTAACTTATTTCTCCTTAAGTCAACTTTGATAGTTTGCATCCTTCAATGATTTTGTCCATATCATCTAAGTTATATAATTTATTAGTATTAGTATAAAGTTGTTCATAATGTTCCCCATCATTCATTTGATATGTATAGAATTAGTACTGAAGTTACCTCTCTCATTCCTAATATTGGTAGTTGGTAGTGTCTCCTTTTTTTTTTTTTTCCTGATCCGTCTGGCCAGAAGTTTATCAACTTTATTGATCTTGAAGAACCAACTCTTGTTTCATTTATTTTTTTTCCTCCATTTAATTAGTTTTCTGTTTCATTAGTTTCCACCCTAATCTTCATTATTGCCTTCATAACATATTTCATAAACCCCAGAATGCACTGTTACTATTTTTTGTTTGAAATAGTCTTTTAATAAGAATTAAATAATATTTAAAAAGTATTTATATCTATTCTCAATAGTTTACCATTTTCAGTGTTCTTTACTCCTTTGTGTAGATCCAGATTTGGGGGGATTTGGTTACCATTCTTCTTCTGCATGAAGGACTTCACTTAACATTTCTTGTATTTAAGATCTTCTGGTGATTAATTCTTGAAGCTTTTGTATGTCTGAAAACATCTCTATTTTGCCTTCACTTTTTGTTGTTGCTTGTTGGCGCTCTTATGAGTGTGTCTTATTTTTTCTGGCTGCTATCAAGATTTTCTCTTTTTCACTGGTTTGAGCAGTTTTATGAAGATGTGACCTGGTGCAGTTTTCTTCATGTTTCTTGGGCTTGACGTTGATTGAAATTCTTGCACTGTAAAATTTATAGTGTCCATCAAATGTGAAAAAATGTTGGCCTTTATGTCTTCGAGTATATGTGTGTCCCTCTCCCTCCTCTCCACCGAGGACTCGAATACATGTGTGTGTTAGGCTGCTCATCCCACAGCTCACCGATGCTCTATTTGTTTGCTGTTTCTTTTTTCCATTTTTTTTCTTTTTGTGTTTTATTTTGGATAATTTCTTTTGCTGTGTTTCAAGTTCACTAACATTTTATTCTGCAATGTCTAATCTACCAGTAATCCCATCAAATGAATTTTTTTGTCTCTAGAAGTTTGATTTGAGTCAATTTTATATCTTCCATGTATCTACTTAACATGTCTTTTTCTTTCCTCTAGCCTCTCATGGAATACAGTCATAATAACTGTTTTAATGTCCTTGGCTACTATTTCTACTAATTCCAACACCTGTGTCAATTTGGGGTCAGTTTCAATTGATTGGTTTATCTCCTTGTCATGGGTCATATATTCCTGCTTCGTGTGTCGGTAATTTTTTATTAGATGCCAGATATGGTGAATTCTACCTCACTGGGTGTGGGGATTTCTTTTATTCCCACAAATATTCTTGGGGTTTGTTCTGGGATGTACTTTTATGTTACCCACCGTTTGATCCTTTGAGGTCTTGCTTTAAGCTTTGTTAGGCAGGACCAGAGCCATGTGTGGTGTAGGGTTAATTTTCCCCAGTACTGGGGCAAACCTCCAAATGCCTTGTGAATTTTAAGCGTCCTATGCTGGCCATCAAGAACAGGTGCCTCCATGAGCCCTTCACAGGCTCAAGGGGCTGTTTCTTCGACTCTTGGGTGGCTCTTTCCCTGGCCTCAGCTAGTCTCCTCACTCCAGCACCCTGACGAGTGCTGAGCTGAACACTCCGGGGGACGCGCTGAAGAACTCCAGGCTCTCCCTGTGCGGCTCTTCCTCACCACGGTCTGCACGTGAACTGCACGGTCCTGGCCTCTCCAGACTCCCGCTGCATCTGCTCGGTCAGGGAGAACACCGGCCTCTACCTGGTCCCCGCTCACTGAGCCAGAGCCTGGAAACTTCCTCCAGGCAGCAAGCCAGGGCATCCTCGGGGCTCGCTGTACTGTTTCCTGTC